GCACATCACTGAGCTCGGTCGCAGAATCCTCGTTGTCCTCACTTTCAGTGTCTGTTGAGGAATTTCCCAACAAATCGCTATCACTCAATTCTGCAAGTAGTTCTAATTTACTATCGCTGTTTTCTACCTGGTCTAAAACCGCTTTTGACCTAAAACAGCGACGATTCTGCGACCGAGCTCAGTGATGTGCGAACTTGGTACTCAATTGACTGGTACGGATCAGGCTGCGCCCCCAGAATTCCCATTTACTGGACCATTTTTTAAAATTATTATATTTGCATAGTGTATGGCCAGCTCTCGAAGGGTAGATAGAGGAGTAACAATGTGAGTGAACCAGGCTCTAATACAATGCATAGTGCTACCACTGGGAACTTGTAGACAGAAGGAACAGAGTAAGGACCTCATCAGTGTGGTGAAACTCCTTCACAACATATTCAGCAGGCTGGGGACAGATTAGTTTATCAAGCTGTATTGCCCAACCGCAGTGGAGAAATACATTGTAAGAAGCAAGCCTATGCTGTGCGGCAGAAGTGGCTGTATCACAAGAACATCTAAACAAAATGCACATATTTTAACAGGCAAGTCAGTTCACAAACAATGGGGGGGAATTTATGAATGCATCTGCGTCTGTTTAGAGGATGTTGCATCCCCAATCCACGTGCATTCATGCTGCACAAACAAATTCCTTTTGCAAGTCTCTGGGTTTTTTTTTCAGTGATGAAGTAATTTCCACTTTGCGACTGTGTGCGACAGAAGTGCAAATAGAGCACTATTTTGATAAAGATCATTTTGACTTGATAATTTTAAGAGCTGAAAGTCTCTCTGCAACTGAAATATCTGCCAGTCACAAATGTTAGAAGTGCTCTTGATCTCTTCTTAATTTAGTGCAAAGAAAATAAAAATCTATAAGATCACATTAACACACAAAGATAGTAATTAGTGCTAGTTAGGAGCAAATGTAAACTGCATGAATGGGCCAAAAGGGCAGGGCTGCTAAGACTGCAGCTTATCTGTCAATCTGTAAATGATATCTTCTGAGATATGAATATGATCCTGTAAAGTCCATTGCAGACATTAGTAGCTACATTGGGAGAACTCCTGAAGAACTACACTGTCAGCAGCTCAGTGGATACATTTGTTACACTTCCATGTGTCAGAAGAGATCCTGCACAGACTGTCAGCACTCTAGCTACAGGGTTTAGCAGCCCAGCAGATACATTTGTTGACATGGAAAAGATCATGCACAGACAGAGGCAATTAAGCTGCAGATACAAATACATTTGTTCCGTTCATTTGCTTCCAACGAGGGCTAATGTGCAACAGTATAGTTAGTCGCAAGTTTCTCTTTGTCAGTGATTCATGAACAGAGTAAACACAATAGTAACTTAGTCGAAATATGCAATTGAATTAATGATTGCAACTGTTTTAAAGAATGCAGAGAATGTGACAGGATTCCCCCCAATATGGGTTACTAAAAAGTGTACTGAACTGATTGCCTAAAGTTTAGTTTTAAAGTAAGTTTCCACTTTTGCAGCCAAATTGGGATAACACCTATTTTAAATGTTATGTGCCCCCCATTCACATAGCAAAAGGAATTAAAAAAAAAAAAAAAACATTTAAAAATTGCTACTTGCCTTTTACTTGCCCTTTTCTGAAACCTCCAAAACTGAAGTGTTCTCTTTGGATGTAATGCTAAGCAGGGGGATGGTGTGTTAAGGTTTGACATAATTAACCCCGTCTGTACTGTGCTGACAAATCTCATCAGTTGTGAACTAGATTCGAACACTGTCTGTCCTAACAGAGTTAAAGATCTCAGGGTTTGTGTACTGCATTGTACAATAAGGAAGGTGACAGAATCTGTCCCGTTACTCCCTCTCTCACTTTTAAATTGTTCAAAATAACTTGGTCTTCCCAAAAGGCCTGCTCCAAGGAAACAACTAGAAAGGGAAGAAATCTTTTAAATAAAATTATTTTAAAAGGTATGTTGTGTGAATGGGAACAGAAACACATCATATGCTTTTCTCATATGTGACAGTAAAAGTGGAAATACATTTTAATTACAACTTGAAATTCAATAAACAGATTCCAGAATAAATATATTAAAGATGAATGGCAGGCAGATATAAAAGGACACATAAATTCACCATTATATCAGCTTATTGTATTCCCTGTACAGCATAGCTCAGTCCAGTAGAATTCAAAGCAGGACAAGAAGCCAGTCAGCTGCACTGCAGTGCTTATGTGCCAACAAGGAGCATGCTGATGGGAGGAGACAGCAGAGTAACAGGGAGATGAGCTCATCCGTCTGGCATTTCTCCTGTTCCTGTAGAGTAACAAACTGGGGGATGGACAAGACCTGCAAGTGTTACTTAACTACAGACGATATTAGGTCTCCTGTTCTACCAGACAGGGCTGTTCTGTGTGGCAAAGCTAGATAAATCTCAGGACTGGATGGACAGAAATACAAATCCTTTGGCATGTAAAACAGTGGCCATATATGTACTGCATCTGTGCATTTGGCTGTTTGCGTGGAATTCATTTTGTAACTTTATCAACCAAATATAGCAGTCCTACTCACATTTTCAGATGCACCTTCTCTCCACACTTTCATAAGTCCAGATTCTACACAAGTAATGATGGCACTGCAATTTAAAAAGATATAGAAGGTAAAACAAAAGTGTCTTATTTTGAAAACTATATATTATATATATATATATATAAGGTCGCACGACTTTAAACTTACGAACATGTTTGAAAACCCGCCGAGCATCGTACGATGTTCAGCGGGTGTGTAGCATGTTCGTAAGATAAAAGCCGGACGGGCCGGTGTGCGCAAGCGCACACTGCCCGTTCGGCATTGCGGTCATCGGAAGCCCACCCCTCAGGGGGGCGCAGCTTGCGATAATCGCAAGTATGATCTGCCTATGCAAGGATAGGCAGATCGTACGTTTTTTTAAGTACCTTACAACCATCGCAAGATGGTTGTAAGGTGTGTGCCCAGCCTTAGTTGCATCCATGTCATGCTTACCCCCCCTCCTTGGTTTCAAGACTTTGAGTCACTTACCTGGAACAAGTATACAGAAAAGGGTGTCTGCCTTTTTCTTTTACATACTTGCTCTAGCTCAGGGACTAAAAGTAGTAAAGCCAACAGATCATCATAAAAGCCAGGCAGCTTGCAACTGACAGGGATGGGTCTTCATCATCAGTACTCTTCATACTCACAATGGAATATCTTGCCAATGCAATATAAACTAATCCAATATCAGTGGCTTTCGAATTAAAGAACACGAACGAGAATTACTGTAAATGACCTCCCCGTCACATTCCCTCTGTTATCTATTCTCCTAATTATGAAATAATTCAAGGAATCTGGTCACCCAAGTATTAATTTTAATATAGTAGTAACTTTGGATGCTAGACTCGCTTTCTCCTGTATTTCAAACATTAATATAATAATAACATTGGCATTTTACCAAAGCTCTTATACACCTTCCAAACCATTCTGCTCACCCCAAGGCTTCCCCCCTCCAACTAAGTACGCTCATGTTAGCATTACATTTTCTTGACAGTCCCTTTTAATTACTTCTCATTCACTGTTGCAAAGTCTTTTACTCCTCAAAGTAACCTGTCTATTAAAGCTGAGGCCCCCCAATAGGAGGCCAATAGATTTCCACACTGCAATAGAAGAACCAACCTGCTGTTAAGCAACACATATACATTTGTTTCAGATATATTGTTAAAGGAAGCAGTTCCTCTGTCATACTGAAGACTTACTTGTCCAGGACACCAAGTCCTTTGAACGCTCCTTCACCTCCTCTACATTCGTGGAATTCTGTAAATTTTGATTTTTCAGAGTTGAAGACTTTGACTACTCCATCGCGGCTGCCCACTAATACCTGAGGAAAAAATTAGCTTTAACATGGACATCAGGCAATATCATGTGCATCACTGTTAGCTTTGATTTTCAGAACACAAGACAGTGAATAGTTATGAACATCACATTCATCATTACAGAAGGCTGGCTGTACAATATGGCAGCTGCAGGCCAGAGCAGCGGGGCACTCATCCACGTGGGCACCTAATTCAGTTTGGGGATGCCTTGTACCCCAAAGCCCCCCCCATGATTTCAGGTGTGGATTTCATCTTACAGCCACATTAGAAATTTAAGAAAAGGACTGGTTAAGAGTTCTGGGTGTAGTTGAAATTTAGCTTTTGTCCTTTTCAGCTTTAGCTGAACAGGTACTCTTCTCACCTCAGATTCATGTGAATCTCCAAAGCACATGACATTCACTTCCTGTCCTCTGTCCAGAGAGGAAACTTCCATGTAATTTATGGCTTCTTTCTTCACCAGATTTATGCCTGCAATGTAAATTTAAATGGACAGAATGCAA